CAAACAAGAAAACCAGAACACAATTAACCTTTTCTATCATTTGAATGTTCGGGGCACGGATTTAACTCTGCAAATATTTGACATCTTGACACACTTTTTGGGCCCCAATGAGAGTGCCATTGCATGCTACCTCGCATGGCAAAAATGCATGCGACGGTATTGTTAGGTCTGCTTGGCGAACCGTAAAACATGCTTGCTTTCCGCGGCCGATGTAAAAACCACATAGTAAGCACGAGCGCCTTCCCCGAGACCAGTCACAAAAACCTGTGTGCGAAGACACTGCTCTTTTCGCGGCATGAAAACCCATCGGAGATGGCATAGGAATGGCGCACATGTTTACGCCGTGTGCGATCCATGAAAGGAATTTAAACGTGCCACCGCTTAGTACCAGTGACTAAATATGGCGCAGCGGTATTGTAGTTAACCACATATTGATTGGTCACCGCGTGCACGGTATAGTGCAGCTGATGCCAAAAACCAAGCGTGTTTGAGCCACAGGTGCCTGCAAAGCTTCCACGTGAAATTACTTCCTGCATTCATGTGTTATGTGTTTGGCATCCAGTTATGTGCGCCGATTCAGTAGTGACTCAGTCTCATAGTAACATAAGAGGTTTCTGCTCGGTAAGACCAGTGGCTGCTGTAGGAATCATAACACTGACATACATGCATACATAGCACATCTCACCCCAAAAATACAGCATTGCTATAACAGGCCTTCGTGGGTAAGACGTTCTTTTCCGGATCCGACCGCCATCCGTCCCCTGTCCCTCACGCCCACCTGTCATACACCGCTTGCACTCAGCCCTCACCTTAGTTACATATCATAGAAGGGTCCTACGCAAGTTACACCAGAGCTTTTTCATTTCGTACTGATTATTGCACGGTGTCAATAGAGACAACTGTGACTAAAAAAGCGACACCGTAACATTGTGTCTTATACCGTAGCGTCTACCCCACAAGCTATACACGTCTTACCTACATCCGTAGCCGCACCACCAGTTTTCCCAGATTCCTCACCCAACCCAGCCCAGCCCGTCACCCATGTGGGGCGGGTGCCCATTCGTTCACCCAGCCGGTGGGGTCCCCCCACTGGCATCATGCGGCGACACAGAAACGCAATGACCCACATTGACAGATAGCACTATACAGCCCACAGGTATCCCTGAGGAATTTACAAAGTCAGCTGTGCATTCGTGGCCAAGGAATTGCCCCGTTCCGCGCTCATCACTTAGATCTAAAAGGTGTTCAAAATGATACCTGTGTCGAATAGGTGTAAATTCCCCCTGAAACCACTGCTCAAGCTCAGGTCACTGACTGACACGAGCCATGCGATCTCCCTCATGCTCCAAATATCACCAACGTATTGATCGGGTTACGCGCTTTCAAATGATACCCATATCGGCATATATGTTCCGCGATACGCACCAACGATATCTAAAGGTTGACATGAGTCTACATGTTGATGCCAGCGATATCTTAAGGTTCACAAGGTCGACACGTCTATATGTTGTGGTCATGACATATCGACACGACCTCACCAACCACTCCGATGTCGATATCAACGATATCTTAAGGTTCACAAGGTCGACACGCCTATATGTCATGGTCATGACATATCGACACGACCTCATCATCCGCTCCAATGACACATCACAGTTGTAAAGAAAACTTGCGTCACCACTCAGGTAATGTAATGGACATCATTCACTGATCTTTTCTCTCTTCAAAATAGGATTTTTTAAGGGACGCGGGCGTAAGAAAACGTCACGAGGTCAGGAAAAGACCGTAACTGATCATACTTGTGTTCAATGGGTACAGTCAAGGCTATCCAACGAGGTAGAACCGTCCGGTCCGAAAAAGTGGCGTGAGAATAGAGGTAGTTTGGAAGCAAAGCCTGCATGACGTCAAATATACCATATTTGATGACGTCAGTGGCACGGAGGCCTCTCAGTTAGCCAGCTGACTGCTACACAACCCATTAGTTTGAATAGCGAGTATGTTTTGGTGGCGTGCGGCTGGCGGTTCCCCGTTGGACTGAGAAGAAACTATCCCTTATTGCGCTATTCGCACACATTTCTGGAATGAACAGTGAGTCCTGGAACAGTTTAGCCTTATCAGAATGTATCAGTTTAGCCTTATTACAGTAGATCATCCACTTTCAAACGATATACTGTTTCTATCAGGCCCAAGTAAGAATCGCACGTATATCACCTAGTTTCAGTTGCAACTTTCCAGATGGCTGTGTGCGTTGGAGCCAAAGTATTTGGACCAGACGGCGCGCGTCATGCTTCGTACACACGGCGCTGCCCCTGAGCCGCAGTATGTCCTGCTGCTAAGACAGGGCACAGACGCGACGAGTGTTACGTGGGCCGATGCACCTATCGGTAAAGCAAGCTAATAGTAGCCGAAAATGAGAAAGTGAGGCAATGATCGATAAATAAATATCATACATTTACGAAACTGCGATTGGAGAAAACCATTGTACCGGATGTTAACCCACGTCAATGGGAGAAGAACTTCAACCTCAAGCGTCTTCAAGCGCCTCATTCAAGCGCCTCCAACAGATCACACGTTTTGGCAGTCTAAAGGCTGTATTGCTCACAGCTCATCCATTTCCCAGACGGTGCCCCACAGCTCCCCAGAGTTGCCCTCCCGCCGGTCGGGCGCTGCACCCGTTGCACCAACCAGCGACGGGTGCAGCGTGCCCTCGACCCCCTCCCCCAGAGGCCTGATCCGCGGCCGGCCATGATGACGTTACAGGCGTGCAGCGCGTCCGGCGACACGCCGCTGATAGGACGGCGGCGGCCGACGGCGCCCAGCCGCCCGGCGGCCGGAGACGGCGCCGGCGCTCGGTGACAGTCCCCAGCCCGGCGACCGCCACCGGCGCGGCTCACGGCCGTCACGTCACGGCCGTCACGTCACGGCCGTCACGGTCGGCGGCCCCGGGGGTGCTCTGCTGGCGTGGTCCGGAACGGCCCCGGAACAGTGGCCCTGAGCGCCGTGGCCGCCAGCCAGCGCCGTCAGGATCACGGCTGAGTGACGTCATATCTTGTGGTTCCTCGGCCACGCCGGCCACCGCCCACTGTGAAACCCGGTCGCGTGCCAAGCGGTGGCCGGCGGAACCACTGTAGGTGCGGCTGGGTCACTGTCTGCAGCCGCCTCCACAGACTCACCGGTATGGTTCCAGACTTTCCCGTCACCCACGACTGCATACAGCGCACCACAGGGAGGGAGGGAGGGAGGCCAGCAAGCAGGCAGGCAGGCAAGCAGGCAGGCAGCGAGCAAACGAGGAGGGAAGTGAGGAAAATAACGTAGAGATGGAGACAGCGTGAAAGGGAAAATGGGGGGGGGGGGAAATAAAATGAGTCTTTTTGGGGGTTGAATATTTCATTCATCGAAATATTACTACTTCTGGCGCTGCCTTATAACGAAACAAAAAGGCGGAACCACTGTGGGTACGGTGTTTAGCCACCAGCTTGTCATTGCTAGATAACCCCCCCCCCCCCCCCCTCCCCAGGTAAAACACGCAATGGATCCCGTAAGCCTACGACAGTTGTGCTATTTTTCCTCTTCCCATGAGCACAAGTAATTTGGTGCATGCTTCATGTGATTCGGGTTTCTTTACGGGTCACAGAGAAGCCAAAATGGTATATAACATTCAAAAATAATACCCACGCGTGTGCTACATCTGCCGTGTAATTACAGCCCCATACATGACCTACATTGCACGATGGTCGAGCTAGCCTCAGCCGCCTAATGAATATCGCATCGTATAAACTGCGCTGCATTTGTCCATAGCATCAGCTAAGCAGCCACAGCGTGTGATTTTAACCTCCAACCACACGGCCAGCCACGGGCGCCATCATCGCTGAGCCCGTTGACTCGGACCCCAATAACATATGGGCATCAAAGACTACTTTTGTGTTTTTTATGATATCAGGAAACGCCCAAGCCGATTTTAGCCCGGCAGCCTTCGCTGCCGCCGTGGCCAGCGCGTGTTTGTCAGGACCTGGTCGCGCCGTATCACGCCGGAGGCAGATGCAAGCTGCAAATGTCGAGCGCCATGAGACATGTTATTGCGCAAGGGCCGTGCAGGCCACGAGATGGCCGTGTCCCGGCATTGCATACGGCACGAAGGAAACCCAGCCGCTGCCTTGTCCGAATTAAAAAATAATAATCAGACCGAGTCAAAACCATTCGCGACTTGAGGCAACACTTATAAGTTTGGGACCGAGCACGCAGCGTCGCACGACCTGTTCTGGAGCGCGAGCTGCTTCCGTCACCGTACTGCCGGAGGTCAGAACACTAGCTGAACCCAACCCCGCGCGTCGTCGAAGTGCGCGGACCCCCATCCCGACGGGTTCGCGGACTTGACCGCTACCCCATCCCCCTCCTCTGCCCCCCCCCCCCCCGTTGGCGGCTTGCTTGTCCGGCTCACTTCCGGCGTCCTGCGGCCTGACCGGAAGTGGATGAACTTCCGTCTGAATGGCAGCGGAGCGTGCAGCCGTCCCCAGTGATATGCCACGACCATGTCTAAACACTGCGTATACCCAGATATGCCGCGGCGTCAGAAAAACGATCAAGGCAGCTTAGCACCAGCGTCAGCTCAAAGCGATTGCGTTTGATCTCCGCGTGTAAAGTGTTATGTGAGGGCGACATGACATGACCCCCCTGCATGTGCCTCGGCTGATTGGATCAGCACACATGCGGATGCATTATGCGACGGTGTAAAAAGCAGGTAATCGCCTGGCGTAATATGGCGGCACTGCAGTGATAACAGGTGACGTCAACCGGAATAGGCTGAGTTGCAGAGACGTTGCGGCTGCCGAATGGCTCTGTCGTCTGTTTCACATATCGGACAAAAAGCGGCAAGGAGAATCGCGTAAGTTTTCCCTCTTTTCCTGCCAACACCACACAGATCACAAGCGTGAATGCGCACGAACGAAGACACATGCATGGGCACCGAAAGACGCGCTCCCACAGCTCAGTTTCAAGCTTACCTCCGAGATGGCAAAATGCACCTCCACGCCCAGCATGAGTCCGTAGGCGACGAGCAGCGCCCAGGCCAGGTCCAGCCGCATGTGGTCGGCGCCCAGCCCGGCCACGCCGCTGTAGAAGCGGACCTTCAGCACGCCCAGTGTGACGGCCATGGCCAGGTACGCCACGTTGAGCAGGAGTCGCACCGGCGCAGCGTCCCGCTCGCTGACGGTCGCCAGCCAGATGACGCTGCCCGCCGCCAGCAGCGCGGCTGCCGGCGCCGCCAGCACGTGCACGTGCACCACGGACGCGTACCACTCGCCCAGACTGGCGTCCATGAGCTGCGCCAGCGCCAGCAGCGCGCACAGCAGCGCCAGCGCCCAGCGCGCGCCGTGGCGGCGGAAGCGGACGGGCGCGGCGGCCGGGCGGCACCGCCAGAGCAGCGCGCCGACGACGCAGGCTGTGACGTGGGCCAGCGCGACGGCCGCCGCCGCCAGGTCCAGGTGACACACGTCGTCCCAGGCCAGCGGCCCCGGACGGCCGCACAGGCTCTCCATGGCGGCGCCGCTAGCGGGGCGACGCTGAACGGCGGGGCGCCGGCATCGGCGGCTGACGGGGCGGCGTACTCTGCGGAGCAACGGCACAGTGTAAGCCAGTGACGCTGGGTCAGGCGCCGTCCAATGCCCCGCTGTCCGTTTTTTGGTGTCGTTGGAATGTTACCCGCTGCAGCTCCTGCAGCTGCCACGCACGAGCGTCGCGTGAGTGGTGGCGGATCCTATGACGACATGGGAGGGGAAGAAATCTCGCATGTTACCTCGTTTCTAGTCATTTAACAGCAAGCCGGATACGCTATGTTCGCAGAGACGGAGGGTGGCTGCCAGATGCTGCCCAGTGAACAAGACCAAAATTGTTGACAGCCATGTCGCGACGTTGACATATTCGTTTTATGATTTATTACAATAGGACGCTTCCTGGTTTCCAATATTTTTGGAAGGGTCCAAGTGCTTCGTAAAGCATATTACCATCATTATGTGTTGGTGTTCCATGTGATAAACAGGCTGCCCACGTTCTCAACAAGTAAACGATTGTCAGGGTTGTCGCGCATTGTGGAAGCGAACATTCCTGTAATCATTGGTCGCATGCGTATGCGGTTTTCAGCAACGATAAGCGCAATTATTTGAACAATGTGCTGTGTGCATTGTTTTTCATTCGCATGCCAGCCATTTGCTCACGTGGGCTTGTGCTGCATACTGACAGTCTCCACGTAACTTCGCTTTCCCATTCGATCATTCCATCATTCGATCATCCGATCATTCGATCATCGATCATCGATCATTCGATCATTCGATCATTCGATCATTTCGATAGATCGAGAGAGAGAGAGAGAGAGAGAGAGAGATGAGAGAGAGAGAGAGATGAGAGAGAGAGAGAGAGAGAGAGAGAGAGATACATATATCCCGTTATATATATATATATATATATATATATATATATATATATGTATATATTCCGTTATATACATATATATCCCGTTATATATATAATATATATATATATATATATATATATACAAATATATATATATATATATAAATATATATATATATATATATATATATATATATATTCACCACCATATATTACAAAACAATGCTAGGTACTTTCCCATGTCATTCACGACCTAGCGATGAAACCCATTGAATCGAGAATTAGGCAGTTCAATTTGCATCGATCGGAAGGATTGAGGAAGGATGCTTCGTATTTCGCGCTTCGGCGAAAACACAGCAGCTGATTAGGCTACTAACGTTTAAGGCGAATGCTTGCTTGATGTAAGCTCACAGTCTAAATACGAGACCAGAAACTTGGCAGCATGCCTACAAAACCCTGGACCCACGGTCGACTGCGGCACGCGGATCATTGGCTACATCCACTATTCATCGGCACGTATCGGGTCAGACAAACGCATCTGTACCCGCCAAAGCAGATTACGGCGGGGTAGGCTAACGCGGCTAAGTGCACTGGAAATGGCGCATGGCAATCCGATGGCCGCCGCTCGCCTGGTCAGCATCAGCACGGCGGTTGAGTTCGCCGGCACCAATCAACTGAGCAGTGACGGAACGACCCCGGAGCTTCAGGCAGACAGTGGGTCCCGTGACCTCTGGCACGGCCGCAGACAGACAGTGGGTCCCATGACCTCTGGCACGGCCGCAGACAGACAGTGGGTCCCGTGACCTCTGGCACGGCCGCAGACAGACAGTGGATCCCGTGACCTCCAGCACAGTCTAAGACAGACAGTGAGTCCCGTGACCTCTGGCACGGCCGCAGACGGACTGTGGGTCCCGGGACCTCTGGCACGGTCGCGGACAGACAGTGGGTCCAGTGACTCTGGCACGGCCTCAGACAGACAGTGGGTCCCGTAACCTCTGGCACGGTCGCAGACAGACAGTGGGTTCCGTGACCCCAGACACAGCCGTAGATGGCCGGAGGGCTCGGCAGGGGGTCTCGACACGATCGGAGGGCTCCGCGAGAGGTCACAACACGGCTAGAGGGCTCCGCAAGGGGTAACAACATAGGTCAGAGGGCTCCGCACGGGGTCTCGATACGGCCGGATGGCTCCCCAGGGAGTTCCGACACAGCCGGAGGACTTATGGTGGTTCCTGACAGGGCTGGAGGGCTCTACGGAGGTTCCGGACAAGGCCGGAGGACTCCGTAAGGTTCCCGATACGGCCCGAGGGTTCTACAAGGGTCCAAACACGGCCGGAGGGCTGTGGGACACCCAGGCGGCAACGAGAGTTTGCCTTGGTACCAAGGCACCGAGAGGGACCAGGGCCTGGCTGTGATGTTAAATTACCTCTGCACGTGCCATACGGGTGTCGCACCTCTGACCTCAGCTCTTCATAGTTAAAGCGGCTGCAGAACGGAATGCAAATGCGGCGTGGTCCGCAAGTGCGTCTGTCGCTAGTCGTTGGCTGCGAAATGGCGGCACGCAAAAAGTTCACGCGTCGTGCCGGATGCGGGATCAGCGCAAGGCAAAGAACGAGCCACTAGTGGTGATTCATGCCGTCAACCAAACAAACAATGGCCCCGTTGTCACCGCAATACTCGCGGCCGCGCCTACCGCAGTTAGCAGTATCGTTCTGTGGAACGGACACCTAATGGTTCGCGGGTATGGCAGTCTAGTCAGCCTAGAGCTAGAGCTAGAGCTAGTCAGTCTAGTCGGCCTAGAGCACGGGTCGCAGCTCCCAAAGCTAATACACCACCTCAACCTGAGGAGGTAACAGCTGGTGAGTTGAGGAGTTAGTTTAAATTCCCCTTAAAGCAACTTACAAAAAAACGCACTTTTGAAATAAAAAAGGAACGCGACGTTCATCCTCACGCCTAACTGACGGTGGGCCGGCTACTGCACTGGCCATATCAGCGTTCAGGGGTCATGGCACGATCGGGACTTGAACCCGGACCCTAGCGTGGGCGTCCGACACGCTAACCGTTCCGCCATTGCGTCCCCTCTGCCTAGAAAGACATTTACTGCTGAGAACAGAACGTGGGGAAGGCGTTCCGAGATCAAGGCAGGCTGCTTCAGCGCATCATAAGTTGTAGCATCGTCGGTAAAGAAGGGTTACACGAAAGGAGAGGACCTATGTAAAATAGTTACACAAAATCAAAATTTGATAAGTGGCAAATTCTAGACCGATCATCGATCGTGCCCATCATTGTCAATATAGTAAACAATGTGTTATTGGAGAATTCTGGCATCTACGTGCTGCGAAACAACCTTCACAATCCCGACCAACTCGTCTTCTGATCCAACTACAGCAGGGTATGGGCACTGGTTACTGTTTGCTCTACACACACGCGAGGTGGGCCACGGGCGAACGTGACATCGGGCCACTCACATGGATTAATATCAGCTGCTGTTCCCACGATATCGACTACCACGTTCTACTACGCCAGCTTCAGCTGCTGATCCCAAGAGATCGACTACCACGGTCTACTACGCCAGCTTCAGCTGCTGATCCCAGGAGATCGACTACCACGGTCTACTACGCCAGCTTCAGCTGCTGATCCTATGAGATCGACTACCACGGTCTACTACGCCAGCTTCTGCTGCTGTTCCCATGAGATCGACTACCACGGTCTACTACACCAGCTTCAGCTGCTGATTCTATGAGATTGACTACCACGGTCTACTACGCCAGCCTCAGTTGGTGTTCATCGACCCACGCTTGTGCCGAAGGTACATTGGCCATCACCGGCAGCCGGTCGCAATACCAGGAAGCAGAGCGGCATTATCACCAAGACGAAGTACCCTCCGCGAGTTTCAGAGGTCCTCATCCAACTCTTTCTGCTCAACGTCGGCTTGCCACGTCGTGCTACATTCCAGACGGATTCCAGATGTGTTACATTCAACACCCTGTGCTCCATTCCAAATGCGCCACCAAAAAATACGCGTACCACTCACAGTTCCGCGCAAGAACAGAACAGCACATCATCCAGGAGCAGATGTGCCTTGGTTCTGCGTGAGAGGTGAGTGTGCTGTGGCATCTCAGCTATACCAGGATGGCGTCGGGAATTAGCGCTGCCGGATATCGGCACCATCGCCTGATAACGTATCCGACTGAGATACCAGTGATGCACTTCGCGTGTGGATCCCGCCCTATTCATCTGTATGCGATTGCTCACGGTACACATACCGGGACGCCTGCAGATGCCGCCGCCATAAACCCGTCACGTTACATCACGTCCACAAGAGACGAATCCGAGGCGCGGTACGTAAATGTTTACCGCAGCAGCCATCGGACCAAGTGTTTACTACAGGGGCGTGCCGACGCAGCATTCCACCACCTTATTCAATTGAATGGAAACCTTCTGGATCTTGACGTCACTTTCCCGGAATGCATGTGATATTGATGTGTGCGTGTAACTGGTAAGTTCCATAGCCATAAGGCGTGATCTGCACTGTGTTACGCTAGGTGGCAGCGACATCAGCACCCGGCAAGCTATGAAGCTATACAGCTCTCCTGCCCTGGTCCCACTTTAAAAAGCCAAGCCTTATCCTTTGTCTGCTACGAGTCATCCGTCTGAATCGGTCGTCCCAGGATAACATTGATCGAACCATGATTTCTGTCATGCACCTCGCCATTTTCGTAGACGTGATGTGCATGAGTTGTAGACTTAGAAGCACCCTGTCATCAGATATAAAAAACTGCAGAACGTTGCCAGCCAGGATGGGAATTTCACTGCCACTGCATATACATTTAATAAATAAGCATTTTTCAAATTTCACTATCTATCTATATATATATATATATATATATATATATATATATATATATATGGCGTGCTCTATATGCTAGCCCGAATTCAAACATAACGTTGCACAACCCGAAATCGTCTGAATGTTGATGTTATATTGATGCTCCAGTACAGTCTATGATAGATCATGGCGTGGTATGGAGTCTTCTACTTGACGTTGCAGCGACGGATCTGACGGACAGCACACGTGCCATTTTTGTCGGTCCTAAAATCACCTCCGACATGTTTCTTTCAGACCATGTTTACCCCACAGAGGTGAAGCATGGAATGCAGCAGTCCTTTGTAGACTTCCGTGTTCCGCTGATGAGCCCATCCTTTCTGCAAGCGCCTATGCGCAAAAGGGTTTCTTATCCTTTCTTACTTCACACGTGCGAACTTTTTTCCATCTCATCTATTTATAGCACCGTAGTGCTAAGCGTAAGTTTCAGACCATGTTACCATACCATATATGCTGTTCAGTAAAACCTGAACACGCCTTTAATCGTCATATAGGCATGTCAAATGTTTGTGCAAGTATTGTCTGGAGTGTAGGCCTTTGCATGCAAATAACGAAAACATTCATTATGTACATGGGTAGGGCGGGTCATAGTGCATCTCATAATGTTGTAAAGCCTCGTTTTGTAATTTACGGACCGCCTTTGGCATTCTGCTTTTGCTGTATCGTAGTAAACACAATCATGTTGCAACAGTCTTATCACAGTAAGAATCATTTTCTCCCGTAAATGTCAGGCAGTGTGTATAATGCCGGGTGCAGCTCTATCTTGGCACGATCACCAAGATAGTGCCTCGCCTCCCAGTGCGCGCTTCTGTCACCGCCACTGCGCGTCACTCGTCACTCACCGCCACTGACCAGGCACATGATCTGCACGGATTTCCAACCTGATGGATAAAACAGAAAGATGCACGTGGAAACCCCTGCATTCCCAGCCTCTCGTTGTACATATTTTCATGTTCATTCTCGTGAATTAAAATGTTTGTCTTTTCTCTCTTATTTCGTACTTTTCTTTTCCACTTTTTGGTAGGCTCGATCACATGAACTAATCATCGATTGTTTCAATATGGCCGTGTTGCTGTTGTTTGTTTCTAACAAATAGTGAGTGTTCAAAAGCATCCCGCCTAAAACTCGTCCTCCGACCAAGGGCACCACGGCGTCAGTGCCTTGAGCAATATCATGGTGGATAAACCAGATCCTTTCCTCAGTACAAACACACGTCTCCAGTCTCATTCCCTCCCAACTGACACAGAAAAGGTAAGGACGTGCACCGAGCGCACAAAATGATTTGTACGGACTTCCAACCAGGCGGATAAAAGAAATATGCATGTGGAAACCCATCCATCCCCAGCCTCCCGTTAAACACGTGCTTCGTAAGTGTGTGTAGGTGTGTGAGTGTGTTGAAGTGGCGTGTAGAAGTGTGTGCAAGTGTGAGCAAGTGTGTGGGTACACCTGAGCGTCCAACAGAGTGAAATCGCTGGACGGTTCACCTCGTTTCACCGCCATCGAAAGAAGAGCACAAGACGGAGGATCCTGACCGGCATGACCTGATGTTCCACAAGCAACACACCCGGGCGGGAGAGGCTTTTGGCTACCACCTGGGGTGGGGCAGCCGCGCGTTCCATGGCGGAAAGTCACGGACGGTCTTGCTTTCGTTCAGTACTTTGACCTTCTGTTCATTTCTGTTGAGCTGTCACGCCATCGAACCAGAACAGCATGCAACTGCACTGGCCCGCTACATGGCTGTCGTCACACAATATTGTATACAATTGTGGAAATATCGATAACATCATTGTCGAGTGCATAAACATGGCGAGCAATGAGCGTAACCGTTAAACAAAATGTCTATATCAAGCTCGCGGTAATCGTGAAATGAATATACTTCAAAAAGGACGTGCTTTAACCAGGGTAACGAAAGGCTACATTCGTAAGTCGTGAAGTGCATTTGCGAGGAACGTTATTGACATAAATAAGACAGTAGTAATAGCCTCATTCCTAAGAGAAAAACAGGAAAATGGAGATATAGATGCGCTGATAGTTCGACAACATGTCTTCATCGAAACCACAGCAGAAGTGGCTACATTCCGTAGAAACTACATAGTTTGGCAAATTTATGGGCACAGTCGCACTAATTTTCGTCTCATTGGTTGTTGTACATAAATCGAGAACACGAGTTACATCCATTGACATGTAAAGCATAAAACAGTGCAAAGATGATCTTCTCATATTCTATTTTTGTGTCGGGCCTCGCCCTTTCAGATTGGCTTCTGAGAAGGCAGAGTAAGGGGACATGATCTTGTTTGCATCGATGTCGCATCAGAATGTGCTGTGGATGCTGGAGGGACTTTCACTGGCGAAGGATTGAGGCCCGCGGGTCAATCAGCTCCGACCCGGATGTAACGATGGCGGGCTCGGTGAGGGGGGAGTGGGGGGGGGGGGGGGCAGTCGAGACAAGTGAGCCGGCCACCCAGCACCGGCCGTGGACAGCTGCCAGCTGCCAGGCTGTCAGCCGACACGTCCACACTTGGCCACTATCAGCAGCGGGCGGGAGCCGCCAGGAGTCGAGCCCCACCAATTGCCTGATAGAGCGTAAGGTCACACCCGGCTCGAGCATGATGGCCTGCAGAGCATGGGGCTCCTCAGTGGCCAGGCGCCCGGCCGCGCCGACGCACGCTCAGCTGCTCTGAGCGATTTGGACGCTCCGCTGCTCTGAGCGCTTCGGGGCGCTCAGCTGCTCTGCGCGCTTAGGAAGCTCAGCTGCTCCGCGCGCTTAGGATGCTCCCCTGCTCTGAGCGCTTCGGACGCTCCGCTGCTCTGCGCGCTTAGGAAGCTCCGCTGCTCTGAGCGCTTCGGACGTTCCGCTGCTCTGAGCGCTTCAGACGTCCAGCTGCTCTGAGCGCTTCGGAAGCTCAGCTGCTCTGAGCGTTTAGGACGTTCAGCTGTTCTAAGCGTTTCGGGGCGCTCCGTGAGTCAGGGAACTGCTTGCTTTAGCTCGCACACCAGGAAGGGTACCGTGCAACACGCCAGCTGCCAAGCGTTCATTGGTAAGAAGCACCAAGCCTTATCAGATGTCTTAAATTCGTGGTGCGTGGTACATTGAAGCGTGCAGTAATGGAATGGTTAACATTCATGAGTTGCCACAATTCTATTGAATACGACCTGGCCATCTTCCAAAGAAAAGCAGTGCGCGTAAAGCACCAAGTACGGGTAAAAGGATCAGGTATAGATACCACTACGGCTTCCCCGTTTTATTATTTTTAGAACAAGCATAAAACTACAATTTCAAAATGCCCTTTTTCAGTAACGACCAAACGTACCGAACGCCTGAATTAAAGCAGATTTGGCACCCAATATTTTGCCGAATTTTTACAGCGCATACAGAAAACTCACAACAGAAAGACGGAGAAGAACTGAATCACGATCGCATACCCAGCCTTTCCACACACGTAATAAAAAAAACTGTTTCAGAGAAGTCCATCGCAGTGGGTAATCGATCTTTGCAGGAATGTTCCGGGTAGGTGTTACACACAGGTGACAATGAATAACCACGGAACTAATTTCTCGAGGGATGGCCCAGAAGCACGCGATGAATGTTTGATCATTGGGCGCTGGGTTGTAAAGATATGGCGATACAGGCCTGTAGGCTATATACATGTCAAAGGCGCAATTGATTCACTGATTCACAATAAAAGATATTGCTTGAGCCTTGAAAAAGTCTCATAGAAATGATAATGTCATATAAGTTACCATCAAAATGAGCTCCCCGTCGTGATCATCCGAGGACCCCCGGGTCTCCATAGAAGATATCAATGCCAAATGAAAGACCAGTCAAATCCAAGCCCATTGGTGGCATGAATTCAATGACAATATATTTCTCTTCTCAAATAGCTTGCGACCGCCCGGTTATTGCATTTGAAAGTTAATATGGTTTATGACTTGCAGTGCCATGCCCTTCTGTGCCTGCCAGTGCCTGCCATGTTATTGCTTTTTTCAAAAGATTTCTTGAGATCCTGGGCCATTGACGCTCTCAGAGCACGGCCAGCGGGTAAGATGAGACTGCTCAGCGGTACGCTCCACGGCGCTGCCAGCAATACACACATCGACCGGGACCAGGGGCACAGTTTCACAAAATGAGTTGCGGGGCTGAACAGTTAAAAATGCCCAAACCTGCCCCCACAATATGCCAACAAGCTGGAATCTCCCCAGACTTTTGCCCACTTTGCTCCCAAAGTTGGGGGGGGGGGGATGAAGCCCAAGTTTAGGAGGCTGAAGCCCTGCCCCCCCCCCCCCCCCACTGAAAAGAAGGCTACACCCCTGATCAGGACTGAAAAAGCCTATGAGACGGTTGAGGTATCCCCATACGTCGGTGAATCGGCGAGGAGTTGGTACGAGAGCGGGTCGCCGATATGCTTCAGTTTGTCCGTGGAATTTGTGTAGACCGCTGCCGTGGCTCGGACTCTGCATTAAGGTTGGCCACGTTAGGAACACGAGTCGCCTGTGTGAAGCTGTTTACACCAGATGCGTCATTTGCACTTGCGCGCGTTTTCTACGTCCGGTCGATCACGGCTGCTAGGGTCCCCCGCCTGTGTTCATCACCGATCCCACCCTGGCCTGCCCCGCCCTGGCCCGATCTACAACCGGGTCCCAAATGCTGTCCCAATGCAGTACACATACCTTTGCGGGCCCGCCCTGCCTGGCTCGGTGCCCGCTTCAAGCAGTAACCTATTGATCGTTTCGTGCCGTGCATAGCATACACGCTTCGAGGACACGCAACGGGCCAAATGCGGCTTGGCGCTGTCAAATGCCTGTTGGGGAATGTGAACGCTTTCACTGTCAAATGGAATCGCTACAGATGTCACAGTCTCAGGCTGTTCACGACACGCGGCCAACTCACCTGTTGTCGGCGCCTCGCGGGCGAGTCCCGCACGCGTGGGCCCAGTGACGATGGCTGACACCAGTTGCACCGCACCCGCCGAGAGCCCAGTCCCCCAAGTGCGGCAGATACCGCCACCCGCGCCCTCTCACAGGCCACCTGCCGGCTCCTGCCTCTCCAGCGTACTGTCCACCACACCCGCCGCACTGCCCTCTACCGACTCACCACCGGCTCACACGGCCCAGACTGCCGCCCGACGGCGCGGCGCTGGCCGGTCCGGCCGGCCCAGTCCGGCGGGCCGCCAGGTCACGTGACCGGCGCCCCATCTCCCGGCCGCCGCTGCGCTGGCTGCCGTGACGTCACGGGGTTAGACCGCCGCACGCCCCCCGCCGGCGCCGCCGCTGCCGCCGCGCTCGAGGGCGGACTGGATTTCCCAGGCGACACGCGTGAGCCATGAGGGAGGGGCAGAGTGCATTTCCGAAAAGCGTAGAATGCATGGTTAATGTGTTATGCATGAGCATGTACGCACCGATCCGCAGCTTGTGATCCAGACCGACTTGTCCGAGCCTGTATCCGTAGATCCATACCTTATGGAAACTAAAAATGTTCAAACTGAAGGATCTTACCATCAATCAAACAAAACATCATGGCTAGGCATTGCATTCTATGAACCAAGCACACGAAGCATTGGGGAATGACGAGACCGACGTGACCAAAGCTATTGCGCACGAAGTTTGCTGCAGATTTGTCCCGGGAAGCCAATAGCCTGTAACGGTAGTCGAAACATTTTTCCGGAATGTTCGCGCGTGGTTTGACCCGCCCCGGCAATTACACGCTGGACATGCCAATCACGGCAGGTAATCGCTGTTGGTTCCAGACAGGGACGACACCAGGACAAACGATGAGCAGGCTGACCCTATTTTTGTAAGGCAATTGTAACTTACCATCGGTTTGGTGATGGAGGTGGACTGCGGAGTGCATCGCATCAAAGAAGCTGATTACACATTTGGAAAGTCAACATGTAGCCATACGAACGCAAGCCGGAAAATTCCGTTGGAATGGTTCCCTGACAACAAACGGATTTCGAGCTGTTCTGAGGCGTAGTGTTATGAACAACAGGCCAGCTTGGGATCCGGATGACAATGCAGGCTTAATTTATGGATGGGTTTAGCTGTATATTCTTAACTCTAGGCATGATAAAGTATGTTACAACCGGGAGCAATGTAAAATAAATATGTGGGCAGAAGTTGTATAGTGTACGCCGAGCTGCTTGGCCCGTGTCCCACACCACCATCCAGAGAGCTGCCGCGTTTGAAGCCGCATGCCCACAAACGAGAGCAATAAGAGGGCACCGGGAATTTTAGCGGATATTGCTAGCACAGTGTCGGATCTGTGGGCTCTCAGCACACGATTCACGAAGCATCACCTTAAGGACTTAAGTCGCTATATCATTTCTTAGCCGCATACCAAGAGGGGAAATTCTACCAATGAATGATTTTATTGTGCAACAAACGATGTATTTACTGGCCGAAAAAATATCGCACACTATCTGTAGCTTAGCAACAGTCACGCAACACCCATTTGGCTAGTATTGCTTACACTGACATGCTCTCAATGAAATGTATGTCTCCTCCCACAAACATAACAGCATAACGCGGCATGGATGATCAGAGGCAGCAGGCAAAACCAACGAGTGGGTGATGCAAAATAGTATGTCTGTCTGAGCTGGCAAGAATGACCAAAATATATATCTTCCGATTCAGCATATTGCGGTGACACCTTGGGTTCCAATGTACACCAGTTTGTTCCCAACGAGTCATAACTACTGAAATTTGACAAGGATGAGCGTACGATAACTTTCTTGTACTGACCCAAAAAATTCTGAAGCATCTTAACACCAGCAGACATGCACTAGGACGACGTCCACACCAACGAATATGATGTGTGCACTCCCCTGTGAGCGACCAGGCTCACGCGCCATGGCATCTCCCACATCATTTTTCGCAGTGCTGAGACGCTGGTATTTCCATGGTATTCACGCATTTATTTAGCTGTCAGTTGGCGGAAAACAGACGACATTTAGCCTGAAGGACCTGAGAGTGCACGACGATGACTGCAGTGGTGCCGCTTCGGCAGCATTGCCGCAGAGGGCTGGAAACATGTGCTCCCGATGAAAGGTGCGCTCGACTCGATTCAGATTTATAACCCACTAACAATCAGCACAAATACTATTTGCACCAACCTCGATTACGATCCTTGGCGCTTGGTGTGATTTGGAGCTTACACGTTATTCAGTTGAATACAAATCACTTTGTGATAATTATGCGCGTGTTTGGTCATTTCGTGACGTGTATTTTTAACTAAGAAATACACCTTGCTAAATGACTCAAACTACATAAATTTTGTAAGCTCCTTTTGATTCGGCTGAATAATTAGCGTGCCCGACATTGCACAAGTTCTGAACCATCGTCGAGTCATCGAAATTATCATGCTGCTCGCTTTGGACGTTTGAATCCGTTGAATCGGCACTGATCCATCCTGGATCAATGCCAACGGACTTGAATCAAAACCAAGTCGTAGGTCTCGCCACACGCTAAAAAAGACAGTTTGAATAGCTCATAACCATGAATAAGCCAGTGTAAATTTATTAGTGTACCCAAGAAATCATAGTTTTTTAAGCTAACACACTACTTGACCTGAAGCTAATGCATGGAAGCCATGGTTTACAAAGACAATGTATAAACACAAAAAAGTTCAGAAAAGGGAAAATATACATTTTCACGGATATTTACACAGTGCCGAAATTTGCGTCACTCCAAATTTGCAATGCATTGATTTTTACAATGGTTTGCTTGCCTGATGCTTCAGGGAACGCAGGCATTTCATTTACATACAAACGGGCTGCCAGATATTTCGTTAAACGTATCGTGCATACTCATGGGCGGATGCAGCCGGAGAATAGCGAGCCATTCCCCCACTGGACCGCCCAAGTTGAGCAAAAAATGTCACCTTTCTGAACCAGAACTAAGCACTACTGACCATAAGAAGCTTGTTTTGAAACAATCCGCAAGATGAAGAAAAGCGAAATCCGATTACTTGTTTAAACCAGGACACTTACCTCCGGACTTTGGCCCACCAAGGCTTTGTTGACACCCGAAGACAGCGTCGTGAATCTGTCCTTGTGTGCGATAAATGATTTGTGGATGATTTACAGCCTTAACTGCGTAACCTCGGGAATGACTAGTTTTTATAACTAGAACTGTAATAAAATGTTCCAACAAGCTATAAAATATTCTAACCGTTATGATATGTTTTAACGTTAGTGGCTTGCTGGCTCAAATCATGATTCATATTGTTTTTATCTATTTAGAATCAGTCAGAATCAGGATGCCATTTTACTCGAATCAATAATTAATGTCAACCGTCATTTGCACCCACAGGTTTGATTCGGCTCTTTTCTTCTTGCTGTGGGGTGGATTCAGTGAATGAATGGCCCTAAAATGCTCGCAATCCCCTCTGATCCTCCTCCGTCTCTTGCAGCCCTCTGCTGATGGCGCCGTCCATGCACGCCAATGCCTCCTGCCTGAGAAGCGCTTACCTGACACCAGCCCCGTGCACGAATATTGTTTAGACACGTCAATCGTCAGGAAGCCAGGCGTTGTCGGTGCAAACAGCGCCAGACGACCCGCGCATTCGTCACCGTTCTCAGAAGTCGTGAGTCGTGACCTTGCCGCCTGAGCTCGTGCGCAGCGCGCCGCCGGCCGCACCATGGCACTTCCACCTGCAACACTGCAGCACTTCCCATCGACCGGCCGTTCCACGTACGCAAGTACCTGAAACTGTAAACAGCACACGGCATCGGTTGGGATGATGTGTACCTTGCATATGCCGCGGTGGCCGCGGGGTGGCGCAGCTTGCAGCGATGACTCACCGTCGTAACAGTGCCCGCTGCCGTGACCGTGTCGTGATGTTTCGGCCGAGTTGTGACGTTGTCGCTGAAACGGTGTCGTAACCGGTTTATCGCAGCCTTTTTGGTATGGTGAGACGGCGTCGTGACGTCATCGCAGTGGTGTTGTGAAGTGACTGCGTGCCGACGGCATTCTCGTGGCTGTGGGGTAGGCCACCGCCGGCCCCGCCTGCCATGTAATCATTCTGGGCTTCCCGAGCCGTTATTGTTTACGACTCGCGCACGCCCAGAAAGCCCCGGATGAGCTGGCAGCCCAGCGCTCCGGTTGCCTTCTCACTCCAGAGCTGACGAAATTCTCGGACGGGGAGAGCCCTTCCAGCGGACGTCTTTGTCGAGCGAGGAGGGAACTATGGGATTCACGCTGAAACGCATCGCGCCTGCGTGACGAAACTCGGGCAAGATTTGGCTCTCTCACGGCTCACGGCCGGCGGCGGAGCTGAATAAGCCTCCATTGGACGCCCGGCCCGACAGCGGGCGGCACGCGCGGTCACGACACAAACAGCTGAGTCGGCTCGGCCGTCGCCCGAGTCTGGGGCAGGCACCCCATCCATCAAGATCTGTACGCTGCCGGGCCGACCGAGCCGGTTTCTCTCCTGTCGGTGGCCGGCGGCGCCCGCCAATCCGGGTCACGTGATCGCCAGTGGCTGGTCAGCTGACTCGGGACGCGCCGTCTGGCCCGACAGGCTCTGCTGATAAGGAGCTGGTTCCGGCCCCCAGGCGCGGCAGGCGCTGATCCAGGATTTTCTGCAGAAGGAATGTGTTTCTCTAGAGGGCATCTGTGCTGTGATATTCATCTCCCGCTGGAAGGCCTCCGAAGCCCCATTGGCTGACCCTCCGAAGCAAGATGTGTTGCACCAAACTGGATTGAGCCGTCTTGGAGCCGTCCTTGCCCGGGTTTCAGGTGACCAAAGCGGCATGTGACAAACCCGGCAACATATATGGGCTTCATTGCCCAAATGCGCTTCGCCATTCTGATGCTCGCCATGCCTCCATTTGGCCAAAGTCTTCAGCAGACATTTGCCTAGTTTCCAGTGTTGGTTCCGTGTTCCCACTTTCCCTCATAAAAACGAGACACTGGCCCTGGTTCCGGCTGGTTCTTTCATAATCACCCGCTGTTATGCCGCCGGTTGATAGCCCTACGCGCACGAATGAAAGTTTTTTAAATGGCTGCCTTATTTTCGTCCTCGCACTCCGGCCGTCCGCTCGCGTTCAGTATTGTACTGCCAGGGGGTCATACCAATACAACAGGCACCTTGGCTAAATATGTTGCGGCGGCAGCCTATGGTTCTCTCACAGTGCGCACGGTAGCTCCCTGCGGAAACGATCATAAGCATTTCAAAGGCCGCCCTAGCATAGCAAACCCACGCTCCTGGCCGGCCGGCCGTTTTCGGTATTCGGCACTGCACTATAAGGTTGTCACTCCAATGAAATAGACGCCTTCCGCCCAGCGCAGTTTTACGGTGCCAGTTTATAGTGAACTAATCGGGGGTGTAGTTTCTTTTTCAGTTGGATGGACTTACCCCTTCCCCTCCCCAACTTGTGCTTCATCAGCAATCACCCAACTTGACAAGAAAGAGGACGAAATCCGGGAGAAACCCGTTTATTGCTATGTTTTTGGATAGTTACGTCATTGTTCACCACTCATTCCAACAATTCAGTATGTGCAACTACGCCGCTTGTTCCCATGTTTTTCAAGATTTTGTCAAAAAACTGTAATGGATGGATTTCTGGGATCAGAGCTTATGCTGAGCACCGCTTGTTACGCAGGCCCTGGTCCCTACAATCCCAGCGTGCGGCTCCAGGTCAGCGGCAGAATTTGGCGGCGAACCGCAATGCCGGGCACGGCTCATTTTGTCCTCTGACGTTACCTGACCTTTAGCGCGACCGCTGTCACTGGCTGCAGGCCAGACCTGTTAGGCAGAGATAATGGGCACCTTACGCGAGCCGAACCCACCCGTCCAGAGATGGGGGGGGGGGGGGGGACCGGAAGGCATGCGTGCTTACCAAGTGAGCTACAGCAGGGGCCAAAATATCGCAAAACAATATGACACACCGTCGCACAACTCGCGCGAGAGCATGCATATATTTGTTAAAGCTGCTGCATTCTCAGCACCACGCTCCGGCCTTTTCATCGCAACTCAGTAATGCGTTGGCAGTGCCAGTAGGTCATACCCCTGAAATAAGAGTCTCTGGCTGATGGATACTTCACAGTATCACCTAAATTCACAGTGACAGTACTTCACAGTGCCCCGCAGTGCTTTCGAATGCACACCGCCGCAGCCTCCCGCAAGAATAAAAAGATTTTGAAAATCGTACCGTAGCTTAGCCTACCCAGCCTACGACTTGTCGCCTACTGATTGGCTGACTGACTGTTGGGCTGTTATACTAATGAAATATAAACTGGTCTTTTACGATAGTTTCCAAATTTACTGACTGACTGCTGGGCTTCTGTACCAATAAAATATAAATTTGTCTTTTACGATAGTTTCCATATTCACAGCTACCATATCTTGCAAACACAACGCAACAGTGACATATGGGGCATACTAACAAAAATATACGCACGATCACCTTGCGTAAATGCTGTGTTCAGGTCTACTTGCGAGTTGTCGGTCCGCACGTGAGTTGCAAGTGTGCCATGTAGAATGAAATAGCCCTACATCGCTCAGCAATTTTCACTGTTGTACCACTTGGGCTGCATTTCACTTCTTGTTTCTTATGACCAGTGTATCAGTCATAGTATTGTTGGCAGTTCACCATCTACATTTTATTTGTAGGTCAACATATTTATAGGTTGCTTTTTAGATTTTCTTCTATGAAATGATTATAACCCCTGTGAAATGAAATGTGAACTGTATTTAGCACTTCACCCAGTTTTGAGGGCATTTGATGCATTGCGGTGCATTGAGAGTGGTTGATGCGGTTGTGCACAGCTTACATACAAGTCTAGCGGCCAGGAGATCAACAATGGTGTTAGGTGTTAGGTTTGGAGGTCAATAATGGTGGTCAGTGTTGGCAAGTCCTGGAACAACTGTCATATTGTTCATGATATGCAGTTTTTGAGCTGATTGCATATATTGTCACCCTTTTTTGCTGGTCTTTAGGCATTCCTTTTTGTACTCACCCTAGTTGGACACCCAGATGTTGTATGCTTGTGGAAGTCTTGGCCTTTCTGAGGCTCAGTTCAAACTTTTTTCAAAATGACATTTTCACCTGTGCCACATTTTGTATTGTGAGCCTCACCCTCATTGTCATTTGTGTGTGTGTTTCAGGATTTTATTCTTCATTGCCTGGAATGCTCACTGTTTTTCAAAACTGGCATGCATTGAGCCATATGCTTTCAGTCCAGATGTGCTTTAAGTGTGAGTTGCAGGACTGAGATACTTTGCCTTAGTTTCAGGTAGCAACCTGCAGCTGGTAAAAGATGCAGCACACAGTTTTGAAATCCTGCCGACAATGTCTTGCACGGATACACACCTCAGCAACCTCATTTGGAAATGTAAGTAGTATGAGAAGTAGGTTGGCTAGCAGGTTAGGTCCAAGTAAATTAAGAACCCCAGAAAAGGGAATTTGATGGTTAAGCAAAGAGGGGCAGGGGCTTGATATGGTAGCTTCTGGCTATTAAGGTGATGCGAGACGTGCCACTAAAAAATTTAGTTCACATTCTCTGGTATAGGTAGCTACTGGTGTTTGTTGCATGGGACAAAGTCCACATAATGCATCATGCATAGCATTAATATGTCCTGAGCACTATTGGTGCATAACATGCAAAACTTTCAGGTAGTACAGCATTTTCTTGTTTGCTTCCACAAGTCTCAAGTTATGGTAAGCATAAGCAGCAAACATTGCTGAATTACAATAAGTTCCAAAAAACATTGTTTCACTGCATATAGCAACTCATGCTACTGTCAGGTGTCCTCTGACATTGCTAAAGAGATCAAGAAAATATGTACATGTGCTTTTTTGCCACACTTAGCAGGTGAAACAAATGTGAGCAGCCACATATGCTTTTATTGTGCTAGGCTGTATTTTACCTCATTCAAAAAAGCTGTTGTATCAACTTCTTTTGTGTTGCAATCAGTGAACTCAGAAATGAGTGTGGGTGTAAACTTGATGAACTAAATGCAGAGCTTCACACTGTCAAGACAGCAGAATGAGCACACATCTGGACATACATGCATGTTTTACCATGCATTTATTTTGCAAATGTCTTTGATAGCCTAAAGCATTTGGGATAGATTTGTGTTTTCCATTTGCATTTCTGGGTGTTGAGAAAGCGCATCTCTCAATTTTAGTAATATAATGAAGCAAGAAAAATGAATAGATTGAATAGCAATTTTCTGCATGGTCACAAATTCAGGGAAGCTGCATGGGTGCCCTATTGTGTTTTGGAGTGCTTTCCTAGCCTTATCTTGCACCCTTTCATCATTCCAGGGAATGCCTTTGGTGTCACATTAACTTGGCAAGTGCCTCTGCCCCAATCTTCCATTGGAGCAGGATGGTTCCCACCCCCTGAAACCACCTCTGGTGGTAGTGAATCTTTCGACAGTTTGGCAAGAAGAGGCAAACAGCTGTTTCTGAGCATTAACCTGTGATCAACCTGGCACCCCTCAATCATGCAGGCTCAGGTGCTTCATGCAGTGAACACGCTGTTGGCCACTTTCGGAGCCTTATCAGCGGAGAGGGTCCGAGAAGACGATGTGTCTGCCCGGTGATCAGCTGGCGGTGTTTCAGGTGTGCTGACTTTAAATGATGGCAGCTAGCGCACGGTCATTCAGGTGGAGATGTTCGCAAAGCTCATTACTCGGCGCGAGTGGATACCAGGTTCGGCCAATCTCGGGGTCAGGCTTTCAGTGCACGGTGCTTCATCTTGAGCCGACCGACCGTTGGTAACCAGCGGCCGGCGCTTCAGACTGGGCTGACCTCGAAGCTCGCTAACCAGCGCACGATCCTTCAGGTTGAGTTGACCTCGAAGCGGTACCCGCACCTGAGGCGGGGCCGGTTCAGTCAGCTGACAAGCGATGACGTCACGCACTTCCGTCAGCTGCTCGGACCCGATCGGGTGCTTACCGAGGACCTGGACGGCTACAACACTGACTGGATGCGCTCCGTGAGAGGTCAGAGGCCGAATGGGCCCAGGGCTGTTCAACGACTTATTTTGCTTATTTTGATGATTTCACGACTGATCAGCACGAAGTAGGTCTGCGCCGAATCCGTGGATCATGCCGCCGACGTGATTTTTATGTGTGGTGACTGTAAAAGGCACGGCAAGGGCACGAGGTAATGCGATGCGCTTTACCACGGTTATACGCTGCGCCCAGATCTTAAGCGCTAACTGCGACGAATAACAGGGTGGCACTGCAGGTAGCGAATAGTGAGGCTGGGAACTTTTTGTCACGGGTTCGGCATTCTAACAGTGGGCTGTCGTTTACCGTCCATCCGTTGCTCACGACGTACATACGTAAGGGGCTGTCCATCTTACGCGCTCAACCAAGCTGGGAGCCGGCGCTTGACCGTCTTGTGAGCGATCACGGCACTGACGGTTCGTGTCCCGGCCGCCAGGTGCGAGTCAGCTGGTGCTGCGGCCGCGCAGCACGGCCGAGGTGTCGGCCGTGCTGCGTCACTGCTCGGAGCGCCGCCTGGCGGTGTGCCCGCAGGGCGGCAACACGGGCCTGGTTGGCGGCAGCACGCCGGTCTTCGACGAGATCGTCCTCTCCACCTCGCTCATGAACAAGATCATCGCGCTGGACACCAACTCAGGTCGGTGAGACGGGGCGGGCTCCGGTGGCGACAGTCAACGGCGCGCGGGCCTGGATGGAGAAGCGCGAACGGCGGCCGCTTGGAGAATACGTCCAGGATTCCGTGTTTGTGCGAGCTGTGCTTGGTAGGGGTGGCTGGGGGCAACCTTGGGACATTCTGTTACGTTGGTCTGCCTTGCCTGAAGTTTCGGGTAAACGTCCCAGGACTGATGATGCCGCCAGGGTGTGCCGCGCCCGCCACGACTGCGGTAGCCGCGTCGGGGCTTGTCCTGCCCCGCGCCCCACCACCAGCCGAGCCTGCAGTGGGTGATGCTGACCCGGCCTGTGCCCCCGCCAGGGGCGCTGACCTGCGAGGCCGGCTGCGTGCTGGAGGCGACCGACGCCTACCTGGCCGACCACGGCTTCATGATGCCTCTCGATCTGGGCGCCAAGGGCAGCTGCCAGATCGGCGGCAACGTGTCCACCAACGCCGGCGGCCTGCGGCTGGTGCGGTACGGAGGCCTGCACGGCTCCGTCCTCGGCCTGGAGGCGGTGAGTGCGGCTGGGCGCCGACGGCAGGTGGGAGGCCGGGCTGCAGGGACGGGGGGAGGCTGATGGGGTAGGAGTGGGATGGTAACTGGGACTGGTGGGGTCAAGTACTAGTGACTGAAGTTGGAGGTGGTCAGATGAGCTGGTGACTGGGGCTGGAAGAGGTAATATGGGCTAGTAACTGGGACTGGGGGGGTCATGTACTCGTGGCGGGAGTTGGAGTTGGTGAGTTGGAGCTGGTGACTGGGGCTGGAGGCTGTATGGTGGGCTGGTGAGTGGGGCTGGGGGAGGTAAGATGGGCTGGTGACTGGGGCTGGAGGATGTAAGGTGGGCTGGTGACTGGGGCTGGAGGAGGTAAGATGGGCTGGTGACTGGGGCTGGAGGAGGTAAGATGGGCTGGTGATTGGGGCTGGAGGAGGTAAGATGGGCTGGTGACTGGGGCTGGAGGAGGTAAGATGGGCTGGTGATTGGGGCTGGAGGAGGTGAGATGATCTGGTGACTGGGGCTGGAGGAGGTAAGATGGGCTGGTGACTGGGGCTGGAGGAGGTAAGATGGGCTGGTGACTGGGGCTGGAGGAGGCTGTAGGAGAACTCATGATTCAACGGGACCGGATGTGGTTAGCAAACCATGCCCAGACTGAATAAACAATTTCAATTTTGTTTTTCGAATGGCGATGACTGCTAGATGGTGGGTGTCTGGTATGACATCGGTAATGCGTCAACATGTGTGCTTAAGCGGGCATGCCATCTGCGTGGGAGGGTGTCTGCCGCTGGCGGAGGCCTGTACTCAGTCCGTGAGCGGTCGACAGCCGGCCTGTGACGGCCCCTCTGCCGGCACTGACTCGGCTGGGTCGGCGCCGGCGCAGGTGATGGCCGACGGCCAGGTGCTGGACTGCATGTCCACCATGAAGAAGGACAACACCGGCTACGACCTGAAGCACCTGCTGATCGGCTCTGAGGGCACGCTAGGCGTGGTCACCAAGGTGGCCATCAGCTGCCCACGACGGCCCAACTGTGTCAACCTCGTGCTGCTGGGTGAGAGGCGGCCGGTGGGTGGTCCCGGAGCACAACGCCCCGGGGCATAGCAGGGGCTCAGTCCTGTGATAGCGCGGTATTGGGGGCGGAGGCTTTTTTTATCACGTACGGTTCGCACGCACAAGCACGGTTCGCAGTTTCTGGAACACGTTTGCAATTTGCACGCTGTTTTGGCAGTGGTTGCGTGCGAAACGTGATATGGAGCAGAGACGCTAAATTAATCACGGCTGTTCTCGTTCGGGGATTTTCACCTTACGAGGATTTAAACTGAGATGCACTCATTCCAGTACTCTGAGAGATCTGTAGAATCGTGGTCTTCTCACTAACCTAAAACACTCGAGCTTCACTCCCGAATAGGACCACTACCGGACCATCCCACACCGAAGTATTGATAGGGGTCCCGAGAGCAGGCCCCGTCATCATCATCCCGTGGTCATCCGTGGTCATGATCACATTAGTGGTCAACTATTTGACTTTCAATCTCCGATTGTTTTACGTGAAAAAGTCATGATATCGACAACACTTTCGGACTGCGATAAATTTGCATGACCTGCTTTTCGTCAAAGTTGGGGCGCGATTTTAGCACTCCAAGAAAACCTAACGTCTCTCTTCGCGTGCCAGAATAACGTGGCTTGTCCATCGTGCACTGTTTAAAAACGTGCTGTCGTTTTTTCACTTCCCTTGAAGGTGAAGCATTATTTGAATTAGCCAGACCCGACCACTGCCGGGTGTGAGCTCCACTAACGTCGTCGCCTCCGCCCTCCAGCGGTGAAGAGCTTTGAGGACGTGCTGGCCACGTACCGGTTCGCGCAGACGCAGCTGGGTGAGATCCTCTCCTCCATCGAGTTCATGGACGCGGCCTCGCAGGAGTGCGTCAGCAACAACCTCAAGGTGGGTGTCGTGTTGCCGCCGCTGTCCCCGTCGGGGTGCCCACGATCTGTCGGTGCTCGGCGTCGTTTGGTTAGTGAGGGCGTGTCTTCGGGCGTTGGTGGCCCTGTATGTGCAGCTGGCTGATTGTCATCCAGTTATTCCGCTCCAACTGTGTCAGCTGTGCGAAGTTGTCTCAGCAGTTATCCTGTGTCCTGTGTGCCGACGCCCAGCCGTGTGCACGCTTTGAAAACTGACAGGACTTGAGGAAATGAGGAGTTGAGGAAATGAATGAGTCCAGTAGGTGATGAAGTCCGTGTCTGTTGGGTGTCGGGTGTAGGTGATGTCTGCCTTCGTCGCCGTCTCGGCTCGAATCGTGTCGGTTGTCAGGTTTTCATTCCCCTCGTCACACCGAAAAAGCGGCGACCGGTGCAACCCCCGGGCGTCTCCCACGCCGCGGAGTTCCTTCGTCGTCTCGCTTGTTTCCGCCGAGACACCGATGATAACGTTGCCGCACGCTCGCGATGACGTCGCCGAAGTACCAGTGGTGACGTCATCCGTCTGTGTCAGGTGACGCACCCGCTGCCGGGCCACCCGTTCTACATGGTGATTGAGACGGCCGGCAGCCGGGACACGCACGATGAGGAGAAGCTTAGCCTCTTCCTCGAGGAGGGCATGCAGCGGGAACTGGTCATCGACGGCGTGCTGGCCACTGACACCTCCCAAATCAAGGTGGGTCACAGGTGGTACCGACGCTGCCGAGGTCAAGGTGGGTCGCAGCTGGTACCGATACTGCCGAGGTCAAGGTGGGTCGCAACTGGTACCGACACTGCCCAGGTGGTCAAGGTAGGTCACAGGTGGTACCGACACTGCCCAGGTCAAGGCGGGTCACAGGTGGCACCGACACTGCTCAGGTCAAGGTGGGTCGCAGCTGGTGCCGATACTGCCGAGGTCAAGGTGGGTCGCAGCTGGTACCGATACTGCCGAGGTCAAGGTGGGTCGCAGGTGGTACCGATACTGCCGAGGTCAAGGTGGGTCGCAGGTGGTACCGACACTGCCGAGGTCAAGGTGGGTCGCAGCTGGTACCGACACTGCCCAGGTGGTCAAGGTAGGTCACAGGTGGTACCGACACTGCCCAAGTCAAGGTGGGTCGCGGCTTGTACAAACACTGCCCAGGTCAAGATGTGTCACAGGTGGTACCGACACTGCCCTGGTCAAGGTGGGTCGCGTCTGGTACCGACACTGCCCAGGTCAAGGTGTGTCCCAGCTGGTACCGACACTGCCCTGGTCAAGGTGGGTCGCGTCTGGTACCGACACTGCCCAGGTCAAGATGTGTCACAGGTGGTACCGACACTGCCCTGGTCAAGGTGGGTCGCGTCTGGTACCGACGCTACCCAGGTCAAGGTGTGTCACAGGTGGTACCGACACTACCCAGGTCAAGGTGTGTCACAGGTGGCACCGACACTGCTCAGGTCAAGGTGGGTCACAGGTGGTACCAACATCTCCCAGATCAAGGTGGGTACTAGACTGCCCAGGTGAAGTCCGAGGCTAATGTGGGTTACCGGCTGTTGCGGAGTGGATGTTTTAACCTGCTGGATGCTGCAGTGAAGTGCGGTATTGCGGTTGCATGCGCTGGCTGCGAATATTTTGTACCGCCGTCGGTGTGTACGTGTACGTGTGCGTGTGGTTGTACGTTTGCGCGTGTGTGTGCGCGTGCGTATGCGCGTTTGTCACGCGTGTGGGCTCGTTGCATTACCGCTGACTACCGCGGTCCCCGGCAGTCGCTGTGGCAGCTGCGGGAGCGCATCGCAGAGGCGCTGCTGGTGGACGGCTACAACTACAAGTACGACATCTCGCTGCCGCTGCACGCCTTCTACGACATCGTGACGGAGATGCGACAGACGCTCGGGGACAGCATCGTCACCTGCTGCGGCTACGGACACATCGGTGAGCGTCCGGCCGGCCGCAGTCCCCGGGATCTGCGGGGCGCCGGGTCCGTGCGCATTTGGCGCGCCGTGACGTGACTGACTTGCCTGGTCAGCCCCAGTTTTGGGTGTGTTAGACGGGTTGTTTGCGCTGGTATACGCCAGTCACTGCCTGCGCCGGTATGCGCCGTTGGAGCTGTACGCGGTACGCACAATCGTGCGCATGCAGTTGTTGGCGCATACCAGCACCAAGTTGGGGGTATTAGACGAGCCTGGCTCGTCCTTTCTGAGGCATCCCGTGTCTCTGGGTATTTGGCATTTGCATTTGGCATTTGGCGCCGTACCAAACCAGGTGACGGTAACCTGCACCTGGCACTGTCCCCTCCCCAGGTGGCGGTAATCTGCACCTGGTGCTGTCCCTTCCCCAGGTGACGGTAACCTGCACCTGGCACTGTCCCCTCCCCAGGTGACGGTAACCTGCACCTGGTACTGTCCCCTCCCCAGGTGACGGTAACCTGCACCTGGTACTGTCCCCTCCCCAGGTGACAGTAACCTGCACATGTTACTGTCCCTTCCCCAGGTGACGGTAACCTGCACGTGGTACTGTCCCTTCCCCAGGTGACGGTAATCTGCACCTGATACTGTCCCCTCCCCAGGTGACAGTGACCTGCACCTGGTACCGTCCCTTCCCCAGGTGACGGTAACCTGCACCCGGTACTGTCCCCTCCCCAGGTGACGGTAACCTGCACCTGGTATTGTCCCCTCCCCAGGTGACGGTAATCTGCACCTGGTACTGTCCCCTCCCCAGGTGACGGTAACCTGCACCTGGTACTGTCCCCTCCCCAGGTGACGGTAACCTGCACCTGGTACTGTCCCCTCCCCAGGTGACGGTAACCTGCACCTGGTACTGTCCCCTCCCCAGGTGACGGTAACCTGCACCTGGTATTGTCCCCTCCCCAGGTGACAGTAACCTGCACCTGGTACTGTCCCCTCCCCAGGTGACGGTAACCTGCACCTGGTATTGTCCCCTCCCCAGGTGACGGTGACCTGCACCTGGTACTGTCCCCTCCCCAGGTGACGGTAACCTGCACCTGGTATTGTCCCCTCCCCAGGTGACAGTAACCTGCACCTGGTACTGTCCCCTCCCCAGGTGACGGTAACCTGCACCTGGCACTGTCCCCTCCCCAGGTGACGGTAACCTGCACCTGGTACTGTCCCCTCCCCAGGTGACGGTAATCTGCACCTGGTACTGTCCCCTCCCCAGGTGACGGTAACCTGCACCTGGTACTGTCCCCTCCCCAGGTGACGGTAATCTGCACCTGGTACTGTCCCCTCCCCAGGTGACGGTAACCTGCACGTGGTACTGTCCCCTCCCCAGGTGACGGTAATCTGCACCTGGTACTGTCCCCTCCCCAGGTGACAGTAACCTGCACCTGGTATTGTCCCCTCCCCAGGTGACGGTAACCTGCACCCGGTACTGTCCGCTCCCCAGGTGACGGTAACCTGCACGTGGTACTGTCCCCTCCCCAGGTGACGGTAATCTGCACCCGGTACTGTCCCCTCCCCAGGTGACAGTAACCTGCACCTGGTATTGTCCCCTCCCCAGGTGACGGTAACCTGCACCTGGTACTGTCCCCTCCCCAGGTGACGGTAACCTGCACCTGGTATTGTCCCCTCCCCAGGTGACGGTAATCTGCACCTGGTACTGTCCCCTCCCCAGGTGACGGTAACCTGCACCTGGTATTGTCCCCTCCCCAGGTGACGGTAACCTGCACCTGGTACTGTCCCCTCCCCAGGTGACGGTAATCTGCACCTGGTATTGTCCCCTCCCCAGGTGACAGTAACCTGCACGTGGTACTGTCCCCTCCCCAGGTGACGGTAACCTGCACCTGGTACTGTCCCCTCCCCAGGTGACGGTAACCTGCACCTGGTATTGTCCCCTCCCCAGGTGACGGTAACCTGCACCTGGTATTGTCCCCTCCCCAGGTGACGGTAACCTGCACCTGGTACTGTCCCCTCCCCAGGTGACGGTAACCTGCACCTGGTATTGTCCCCTCCCCAGGTGACGGTAATCTGCACCTGGTACTGTCCCCTCCCCAGGTGACGGTAACCTGCACCTGGTATTGTCCCCTCCCCAGGTGACGGTAACCTGCACCTGGTACTGTCCCCTCCCCAGGTGACGGTAATCTGCACCTGGTATTGTCCCCTCCCCAGGTGACAGTAACCTGCACGTGGTACTGTCCCCTCCCCAGGTGACGGTAACCTGCACCTGGTACTGTCCCCTCCCCAGGTGACGGTAACCTGCACCTGGCACTGTCCCCTCCCCAGGTGACGGTAACCTGCACCTGGTACTGTCCCCTCCCCAGGTGACGGTAATCTGCACCTGGTACTGTCCCCTCCCCAGGTGACGGTAATCTGCACCCGGTACTGTCCGCTCCCCAGGTGACGGTAACCTGCACGTGGTACTGTCCCCTCCCCAGGTGACGGTAACCTGCACCTGGTATTGTCCCCTCCCCAGGTGACGGTAACCTGCACCTGGCACTGTCCCCTCCCCAGGTGACGGTAATCTGCACCTGGTACTGTCCCCTCCCCAGGTGACGGTAACCTGCACCTGGCACTGTCCCCTCCCCAGGTGACGGTAACCTGCACGTGGTACTGTCCCCTCCCCAGGTGACGGTAACCTGCACCTGGTATTGTCCCCTCCCCAGGTGACGGTAACCTGCACCTGGTACTGTCCCCTCCCCAGGTGACGGTAACCTGCACCTGGTACTGTCCCCTCCCCAGGTGACGGTAACCTGCACCTGGTATTGTCCCCCTCCCCAGGTGACCGGTAACCTGCACCTGGTACTGTCCCCTCCCCAGGTGACGGTAACCTGCCCCTGGTACTGTCCCCTCCCCAGGTGACGGTAATCTGCACCTGGTACTGTCCCCCTCCCAGGTGACGGTAACCTGCACCTGGCACTGTCCCCTCCCCAGGTGACGGTAACCTGCACGTGGTACTGTCCCCTCCCCAGGTGACGGTAACCTGCACCTGGTATTGTCCCCTCCCCAGGTGACGGTAACCTGCACCTGGCCTGTCCCCCTCCCCAGGTGACGGTAACCTGCACGTGGTACTGTCCCCTCCCCAGGTGACGGTAACCTGCACCTGGTACTGTCCCCTCCCCAGGTGACGGTAACCTGCACCTGGCACTGTCCCCTCCCCAGGTGACGGTAACCTGCACCTGGTATTGTCCCCTCCCCAGGTGACGGTAACCTGCACCTGGCACTGTCCCCTCCCCAGGTGACGGTAACCTGCACGTGGTACTGTCCCCTCCCCAGGTGACGGTAATCTGCACCTGGTATTGTCCCCTCCCCAGGTGACAGTAACCTGCACGTGGTACTGTCCCCTCCCCAGGTGACGGTAACCTGCACCTGAACATGACGTCGCGTGAGTTTGACGGCGACGTACTGGCGCGGATCGAGCCGAGCCTGTACCGCTGGACGGCGGAGCGAGGTGGCTCCATCTCCGCCGAGCACGGCCTCGGCCTCAAGAAGCGGGACTACATCGGCTACTCCAAGTCGCCCGGCGCTGTAGTCTTGATGCGGCAGCTGAAGAGGATGATGGATCCGCACGGTATCCTGAACCCGCACAAGGTCCTGCCGGAAGAGAGCTGAGGGTCGCTTGTTGAGCGATCGGCGGGTGTGTAGCGCGCGGTCTGCCGAGCCTCGGGGTCTGGCAGAGGGTGGCTGTGACCCGGGCGGTCGAAGTGATCATGACTGGCACGACAGTATGGTAGAAATAACACGGGTTAGCTCAGGAGACGCACGGCTGATGGCACCAATGGATGGCCGATGCCACATTTCTACGTGACCATTTTCGTGATTTGTACCAACGTTTCGAAATCGGTAGACGGGGTGAAGATGTGTAGCTGTCATGTGCTCCTGCTCTGCCGGTATCGCAGTATTTTTCTGCAGGCACGTGCCTGTGACGTGCATGTAGGAATTGGTGCCTGTTAGGCCGGGCGTGCGCGAGTAGAGACATCTGGGGCTTGGCCGCATATTATCAATTATGTTGCGCCGGCCCAAGGCGATGACTGACGTCGGGGTGACGTTTACGGCGTGTCGAGAGATTAGCGATCGCCGTTTGGGACAGTGTCGTGGCGTCCGCAGACTGGGTCGGATGGCTTTCGGTTGTTTCGGTACGCTGCGGGTGCGATGCGCCGCAGGTGAGGTGCGTGGATGGCACAGCGTGATGCGAGATCACGAGCAGTGCAATATTGTTGGTGAGGTCGATGACGTCGGGCTTCCGTTTCGGTACTAGATCGCTAGGACTAACCAGGTTCACTCGGCAGCGTGGGCTCCGATGTGGCTATTGAAGTAATGTGCATTCCGAGTGTGGGACAGGCTCTGCACGAGATCCGACAATGAGACCCAATACAGACTCACCGGTTACCTGGTTGTTTTTACCTAAGGCATAGCGATGGATCCACCGCGTGTTGCACTTTTCGCACGCCCAAGAAATAAACGCTGTCTGCCGTAAATACACTAGAGGCACTGCATACTGCAAGCGCATTATGCGTCAGTTCGTATTTTTCAACGTTAGGTCTAGCATTATGCTGCTCTGACGAGCCGTGTACAAATAGTGTTGCAGACATAGTAAAGTGATAGTGTGATAAAGGAGTTTGCTTGTAAAGCATAGCGTGAAAGGTGTGATTCTCTATGTAACGTTGTACGACAAGAAAGGCTCGTTATTCTAGAGAACGTTAGTGTTCAGTGTGTTGCATGACACGAGCACTGGCAGCCCTACATGCATCATGACTGTCTGTGACCCGTTCTTCATAGAAACGGACCGGGGGCGCAAAGCAATAGAACAGCTATCACCGGCGTTATATTACCCCTGGTCTGTTGCAACGCAGCACGCCGCAGTGGGATGGCTCGGGGCGCGTGCGGACCTCTTCCGCGGCACTTGAGTTCAGGCGGAGTCTCCACGCTGCAACAGATGGCAGCCGGCCGGCCGCTGCCGGCGCTCAGCGATTGCCTATCGGCGCTCCATAACACGGAGCGAGAGGGGAGAAATCACATCAGTCAGCCCGGTGAAGCGGTCGCACAGTCAAGCATGACACCATTAACGGCAAATGTGCTGTAAGGTCGAAATGGTCAGATACAGCATGATCAACCTGAGCAGGTGAGTAAGGGAGCTTAAAATCCAGCTGTTGTGATATCAGTATCGTCGGATTACGAAACCGCATGAGCATGATGTCATCGCCGTCTTCGAACATGTTGCAACTCTGGAATTAGTAAGTGCGGCATGATCAAAGCGAGGGAATGAGCAGACGGACACGCATTGTGATATACTTTGGTGCGAGTCTGACCCGGCTGGACCGGGCCGGCTCAGACCGCGAGGATTCCCGACGGCAGCCCCGTCACGCGCCGGCCCGACCGGCGCCGGTCGTCACGCCTCACCGACTGCGAGATGGAAAGCGCTGGCGGAGAGCGAAAACACACGGCGGGGAGGCAGGACAGCGGGAGATGGCTGGCGGAGAGCGCCCTCCGGTGAGCGGTGAGCTAACGCACACGGCGGCAAAGGCCAGAGGCGCGGTCGCCAGGGTCTGGACGTGACATGGCAGTGGGCCACAGAAACGGTGGCCTTGGGTGTCGAGGAGACGCGTCAGGGTGATGCGGAATGGACTGAAATGACCTGACGTAAAAGGTCGCTGTACGCGAAATAGGAAATGCTGAAGGTTAGTATTCAGTGAAATTATTGGGAAACCACAGAAACGACGGTTCCTACAGGAAACGCCGTTTCTACGCCGGTGGCTACGATCACCACAGAGTAACAATGTCGGTATGGCACATGTTGCGCCAACGTTATGCTGAATACCATTCCATTTTAATTTTCATGCCAGATATTAACCAAATGGCTTCAGAGGATGCAACAAATGAGACCAGCAGCCTTTTGGCCAAACGAGACAAGCGTTCTGTCACACAGTTCCTCTGGGCTGACGTGACGAGGCGTTCCACTACGCGATGTATCTCACTTTTCTCGGCCGATTCAAGCTCACGTACCTGGACACGCACATATGCTTATATTATCCAGTCAGTGGCCTCGCCCCGCCAACAGAGGCAAACAAATGCCCCAAGGACGTCATCCGACGAAAAACCACACCTGCGCTAATGAGACATGCCTCAGCGCTCGCGAAGGAGCTATCATGTCTGTGCGGTCGTGCATGCATTGCAAGATAGGCAACTTCGTAGGTATCTTTCCCACATGTCAGAGAGAGAATCGATTTAATCCCGGCTATAAAAGCCAGATGTAGACCCGAGGGCATCTGGCACCCGAGAGAGACCCCGTGGTTTGCTGGAAGAGCGCGCGGCGGGCTCTACGCGTGCCAGTCGCCGCCCCGCGACCAACCTGGGCTATTGTTTGACAGCGCGCGATCCTGGGCCAGTCCCACTGTAGGAGATCGCTGAACCGGGACCGCTTCGAGATCTCTCCGCAAGCATGATTCATTTTGTCCGTTTTTACAACGCAAGTAAGCGCGCTAGACGGAGGTGGAGTGGAAACGGCGAGTGCATTCCATTCATCAGTGTCAGAGCTCGCGCTGGCTTCGCTTACAGAGACGTTTCGCTTGTTTTCGGCTTCGCTTGACAAGGTGATGCGGCGCGTAATTTCCGTTCAAAAACTAAAGACGCGTTGAGTTCTTTTTCGTCGTTTCGTTTTGAAGAACGGGTTGCGACTTTTCATGGTTGGAGCCCCATTCTGACGCTAGTGCCCAATAACATCTATACATAGATATGATGCTTGAACTGTAATGCTGGTGCATGACTGAATGCATCTCCAAGATAAGCGAAGGCAATGACCTAACATGTTGATTGTTATGAGCTGATTGACACGCAATGACGACAAATACATTGATATATCAACTACCACAATATATCTGCAACCACAAAGTGATATACGACCAAACCATGTACACATTCCGATTGATACGGGAGCTCACATTCGGTGTGTCCAACAAATCCTATATTTCCTTACGACATTGTACAATCTAAGCACAGAATATGCACTGTACAAATCAAGACGCTATTATTTGACATGGTGAGGATAATCGGTCTTCTGTATAGCAGACAGCATCGCACCAGCAATAATATTAGATAGTTATTGTAATTTATTATTTACACACCGCCTTTCTTCTATCCCATGAAAATGCTCGTTACAAGCAGTGCTAACGGTGACGAGTCTGGTGACCCTGATACTGCGGCTTATAATATTTCCCATTCCAGAAGAATTTATGCTTCGTCACAGCTTTCACCAAGAGCATGCTGGTTTTTGGAAGAACACTTTATTTAACATAAGAGCTGGCAATACTGAACACCGGGAGCTAAAGACTTCTTCGCTCAAGTTTCGACACTTTGTTTATCACTCCCGCCTCCCGATTTATCAAGCGCATTCATAACTTGCTCAAATTATGGCCAGAAATGCAACATTGGAAACGGTCCCAGCCCGTGCATATCTAAAAACAAAAACATCGTATAACGGTCGTCTATGCATTTCGCTGTCAGGATTCAATAAGCATTCACATGTCGTCGTTCTGTCTGTCGTTCGCTGTTGGTTCAGCGGCAGGAATCCGTGTGCGACTATCGCCCTGAGATTTCTCAAGAAATTCTTCGATTCAAATAAGTGAGAACTACAACAAATTCGACATGCTTAGTATGAAGCAAACCTACCATGTCCGAAATATCGGTGTGATACTTTGTTTGCACGCAATCAAGTCTAATTCTTAGTTGAAATGATGCGTGATAGGCTTGGTTGGTTATGCTGAAACGACCAGTCATTTTGCAAGGTCATTTGTAACGATTCAAAACGTGACCCATTTCGTGTTCAACGCTTTCAGGTTCATCATCATGTCGCTCGCTTACGCTTAGCTTATCAGATATTACGTCGCTCAAACATCTGGCGCCAGTCTACGTTGCTAGTTTGCCATGTTCCGCGCATAGATAACCCAACCATGCGCCAAACACCCAGCGGCTTAGAGCCCAGCGCATCAGCAGTGGTGTGGCTGCCGTCTGATGAGTCCCTGACATGCAAATCTAAGCGTTCAATAACTTGATGAGAGCCCCACCTGCCCTTAATTGCCCGTATTAGTCACGAATGCTTGCGTCCGATTGATGTTTACCATACACGCCCACCACGACACATCGTCACGGTCAGCTGCGCAGGCTGCTGAAAAGGCCGACGGTACGTTACAAGCACGCACGCATTTCTTCCGACTGCCATCGGTATGTATGCTGGCACAGCTCTTGTCGTCACTGAAGCGGCGAGAGCGTTCAGCACCTCAAGATGGATGGACTAGTGATAGTGATCCGGTATGACCCATTCGCGGGGACGGCACGGCCGTTTGGGCACGGTGGCCGGGCTGTGGAGCGCTCGAGAAACGCGCCGGGTCGGTCAGGCGTAACGGGCTGTGACTTCCCCGCGGCCCGCGGGCCGCAGCCGACCCGCTGGATGTGGCCCCGAGAGGGCGGACGACAAAACGTACCGCCGCGCACCTTATGCTTTGAAGAGTTCTGGACGGACGGAGCTTTCTTCCAACTGTTTGCATGCATTGAGTTACATTGCGGTTGTCGGCTGACAATGAAGCTAAGTTATTACCTTCAGTTGCCAGCTCCAGGCTAATGTCATGCAGATGTCTATTGCCTTATGCGTCACGAGTTTTCCACCAACCATCACGGGGGGGGGGGGGGGGAGGACGTGGGTAAAAGCATTAAGCCAGATCCAGCGCGTAGTCAGCAGTTTCAAGAGTTCGGTTGTAGATGGGATGCGAGTGATGTCACGTTTATACGAATAGAAATGCTGTCCACTGGATACCAGCTTTCATAAAGACGCGGTGACCAGATACTGACCAATATGGCTCAGTGCCAGAAGCCATCCTACGTATACCTCACTAGGTAACGTATCACTGCACTATATGGTTTACCCATCAATCTAGCTTAAGCTTTTTTCCAGCTGTTTGCATGCATTGAGTTACATTGCGGTTGTCGGCTGACAATCAAGCCGAGTTATGCCCTTCGACAGCTTTGTTCTTGTTCTGATGTTTTGCCACTTTTTGACGCTGGTCGACCTCAAGTGTTCCGTGGTCAAGTGAAAAAGGGTTTTGGAGTCAGAGGCAACGGAGCCATTATACAATATTCAGAAATGGTGTCTAATCATAGTGTTTTGAGAACTATACTTCCACTCAACCTCGATGGAAAAAATCATCTACCCGTAGGTCTTACGCAAAAAAATAGTGTCATCAAGAATCAAGTACTAGGTGCATCGACTTGTGTGATTTGGGGAAGGGGTGTGATCATCCAGCAAGCTTTCATCAATCACCCCGGCAACCTAAAGTCCCCAATGTGTGTTTATGGACAAATTTAGCTCACTTTGTGATGATGACTGATAA